TCGTTCTTATTGCGAAATAGGAGCACTATTTATCAATCTGTAATAAAAGACGTGAGGAAATTCTGTCTTTTTTAAAGACAAAAATTTTTGAGGCCAAATACCCAAAAAGATGTTTGTAAAAAAATGAATCCGCCTCAACAATATAGTTTTATCTACAGTATATATTTATTTAGGCACGCGACAATTTTGCGCGACGTTTTAAACTCAGTAAAGTCTTTGAAAATTATTAATTTAAATCAATTTTTCAATCTGAACTCCTCTGACTTCAATATATTTATAAACCCCTTTAATAAATTATTGTCGTATTTAAAAAATATTCTTATCTTCCATAGCCTTTAAGTTTTTTGTGAGCATAAATGCAAACCATAACGCACATCTTCTCATTCAAAAACAAGTTATCTTGGGGCATTTTCTATAATTTCAATGAAAAAGTTGAAATATATCATCTAGCACTTAACGTGCACCAAACAGACAGTAAAAAGTGCTGTCCATGTCCAAATTTAAAAACGTTTTTGCGAAGTGTAAAAAAAAAGGATACACATTGATTTAGTTTCGTAAAGTACTAGAAGTTTCAATGTGAAATATAGCGAAAACGGTGAGAGATATCGATTTGAACCAAGTACATGGTTTTTGTTTAGGAAAAATGGAAGACCCAGATCTGGTCTACTAAAAAGCGATATTTGAAAACCCAAAAAAATCTGATGACTCATTTGAAAGGGTCCAGACCCAAGCAGCTATCGCCTTTGAGAAACTAGAAGCTAAGTAAAATGAAATATTTATATTCCTGGAGCTAAAAATACCCCAAACCAGAAGTATAAAAATGACAAAAAAATTCGAAATTTTGTATTATTTTAAGGGCACTATGAAAAAGGTCCCTAGGGGTATTTGCGGAATACTAATTTATTCGAGATTATAGAGAAGTCAGCTCAAACCTGTAATTATACAAATATTCAAAAAATTTATGCAAGTGATGGTTATAACTTGTAATAATTCTGCAATGTTTCTGCAAAGGGATCATCATTTATTTCTCTCAAGATCGAATTTACAATGTTGTTTACTTACGACCTAGAACTATTTATTTTCGTCCATGTAGTCACACAGTTAAGGGGTTAATCAAAACGTAATAAAACTACTCAGGTATGTTTCCAGGGTACCATAAATTTAAAAAACGTTTAAATATGTAAAGGAGTAAAATGTTATAAATGTCGAACATGATCTTTAGCGCAAATGTAATTCATAAATGAGTAATTTTGTTAATTGGAAGCGTAACCAACATTAGTAACTTTCGAGACACAGATTTGAATAATTTTTGGTATCTCAAATGTGATCTCTAAATTTAAAAAAATTTTGGCCAAATTTTAATAATAATAGTTTTAATTAAAACTTTTGTAGGTACATTATTTTGTTATAGCAAATAGATATGAATTGTGTGCTTATTTTAATAATTTATTTGAAGTCAAGTCAATGGCAATCTTATATGGTTCTTTTGTTATAGGAAATGCGAATGAAAGCCTAGCTTTTTGTCTACTTAGGAATTTCTACAACATTGCAGTGGAGGAAACACAAACAAATGTAAGTGTTTTTGTAGTTTAATTCATTTATATATCTAAAAACAACAAACGCTGGAAATAATGTTAACACAATATTTTCTAACAGGTTTAATTACCTTTCTGTGCACTTTATAACGATCACGTGAGCAACAAATTGACTGCTCTTTCATTTCTGGAACGCATGAAATACGTATGCCAGCAAAAGAAAACTTGACTAAAATCACTAGCGTAAAGGATTGCTATTTTACGCGCCTCATGACCGAAAGATCACTGAAAAAATAATAAATACCCGAATACAAGCCGAGGTTATATATAGGGCCTCTGCCGAATTAATAAAGAAAAAGGGAGAAATGCAGGTAGGTTGAGCTATGTTGAGTATTTAGTGAAACAAATACTAATTAGGGTCTTGGATCAAATACAGTAGTATTTTTATTGCTTGTCCGATGACGGAAGTAATGAAAGAAAATGAAATTTTTCGACAGGTGCATTAGAGATCCGTTCATTAATAGTAATTAAAATTTCAGCACAAAACAAATGTCAAATCATCAAGGCAAATCAAATAATTACAAGCAAATAGAATGATTTCGGAAAAAAAATCAAATACAATGAACGCTGTAGGATAAAGCATGGAATCTAGCAGCACATCCTTTGTTCCCATTTTCGTAATATACGTGTAACAAAATTTTGAAAAAACTGCTCTTTGCTCCATAATGATGGAATATAATACATCGAATATCCACAGGAACGTCCTAAAAAAGTTCCTAAAAGATTTAAAACCATTTCTATTAAGGCGAATATCAAATCGCAAACAACTAAATTATCCATCACTTAGAATGCTACCCCATCTGGCAAAGCTAAACCGATGTTTATATTGTGTTCTTGAGTAATCTGGGGAGTAGCATGGACGATTATTGTGAAAATTGCTAACTCTATATCGAGTAATCTGAACTTCGGCTGTAAATAAAATGCATATTTTCTGAAACCATTCACAAAATTGCAATATGAACGAAAACTTCTGCAACCGTTTCCGCAAGGTTCTCCAAATATTGTTTTCTAGATTTCGAAATAGAATTGCGATTCGCCTTGTATTTGTCTTCTATTTTAGAAATTGTATGACTAACAATTCGGTTGATCGCTGTAGTGTCATCCTTACTTTGTTTTGTTTTCCCTCAAAATTGCATGTATATCAAGATGCAAGAATTGAAATAGTGATTTTTTACTTAATTATGTGGCTTAACTAACTGCTGAAAGCAGCAGTGCCGCAGTTTTGTGTATCTACACTTATTGTCGTCAAGTCAAAAAATTGATATTAACAACAATATGTAGACTGTCTAAGGTACCGAACAACAGTGGCTTGTCGACGTTTGCTATTAGAAAAAGTTGTTAATTCGCAACTCATCTACATGATCATGCATTAATTATCAGGCATGCGAGACTTGATTAAACGTGAAAGTGTTTCAGGGAGTGGCTTGTTAATTAAAAAAACACGGCTATAAAGATTACATTATTTCATTATCAGAATTCGAACACACCCGGTAGTACAAAATATTTTGAAAAACAAAGAATCAGAAACGACAGCTTTTCTTGAAAACTATAGAGCAAAGTCGAGTTGTACAATATAAAAAAAATGTTTTAAAAAATCACTTTGCAAGACTAATTTGAACACTCCCGCAATAAGAGAAATGTTAGGCGTAGAGGCTCGATTCCCAGGTTCTCTAGGATAAACAACAATAAAACCAATATTAAAACGAGCAGGAAGTGATCCCTAAATGCCATCTGAAACTTCGTTGTTTTAAGGCCTACGTAAAATAATACAATCCCAAATTTTTCGTCCTTTATGCAATATAAAGATATACAGATAAGACAAACATGTGCAAAGGGAAGGCTGGAGAGATAATAAAATATAGAGAATTCGCCGCTTTCGAACCGTGAAATTATACTGCGGGTTTCATAAAACATGTAACTGATAAATTGTTCAAAAATATACACATCAACAGTTCAAATTGCGCGCGTTTATTTACTAGCGGAATAAAGTATTTAACAGTATTAACACGACTAGATTTTGTAAGAAGTTGGATAAATGAAGCGTGGAATCTTCAGATGGATTGCCATGCTTGCGGTTAGTGCTTGTTTCTAGTAAACGGAAAACGGCCTGAATCATAACTTATAAGCACTACTTTCAGGTTAATCTCAAGAGTCAGTTATTCAGTTGAGTTCATTTTCCCTTTTTTGGACATGAAACACTCAAATACGTTCAACTAATTTTAAAATTTTACTGTTTTTTTTGTTTGTTTTGTTTTTAAAATTAAAAAAATACTGTAACGTTGATTAGCGCAGCCGTTCCTGTAGCTTCAATCGCTTGTGCTCTTACTTCCGGTTCTATGCCGCCATAGCTTGAAAAGCTTGGCTGAGTTTTATTAATTTGACAAAAATTTGCGTTCCACTTTCCTCCCTACGGTTTCACAGAGGCCCAATTGTTTCCAATAAAATTTTTCAATAACTGCTCCAGCTGGATAATAAATTTCTGTCACCACAGGATGGATTATAGCAAAACTAAGCCGTTCACTTAACAAAGCTTTCACTTAAAATTCTGCACTTACCTCTCCACACAAAGCCGGTAAGAACAATAGGCCGCCCATCCGCTCCCCAAAGGTGTCCTGTAGAGGATCAAGCATCGTAATATATCCCTGCTGTCGCATTTTGTTGGCGAAAAATATTCCCCCGAAAACTAGACTTAGGGAGTATCCAAACGGTGCTTGGCACCATACCAAGCCTGATGTGTAAACAGCCTCGGCTGTTCCATTTATGTAGCCACCTCCAACCCATGTTGCTGAAAAAGAGTTTTGTATGATTTACCATTATTATTCAATTCAAACTGCTTCAAATGCTGATTATAATGGGATTTTATATGGGCTCCGAAATATAAAAGAAGAATTTATGTGCTTGCTACCGGGCCAGGAATAATTAACGATATTTTCTGTTAAAGCTGGATAATTTTGGGTTGAAAAACAGTCACCTAGAACTTGATTTTTCGAAAAGTCGAAACTCTTAACCAAATAGATCTCAAGGTATACGTTCTCGAATAAGACTCGATAATTAATTGTATTGAACGGCACATAATAAATCACAGTCAAGAATGAAAATTATGTAACTATTTCGGCAACTGTAGACGTTAATTTATCATCAGCTAGAAAATCTATATTTGTCGCCTAGAAAATTAAATCAATTCATATCTTGAAACTTAGTTTTGCTTCCCTTTTAATATTAATTTAAATCTGTTCTCACTTTTAGAAGCACGACTGCCTTTATTTATTACCTACAATACCATACCCAAATAAACAATTTTCAAAAAATTGAAGACGAGAATCTATAACTATAGTATAACTAAGTTGCGAACTCTGTATATACCTAATATTCATTCAAGCAAAAGTAGGATATTGTCACCTTCCATAGCCAATAAGACCGTGTTAGTTACATATTTAATAATTTACTGTTCTAATCATGTTATATTCTCTAAAGGAAAATACAGTACAATAATTTAGAAGATTGCGCAAAAACTGAAGCATTATTTACTAACAGTTACTAATGTTCAATCGTGTCTACTTAACAGTGCGCAAAAAAATTAATCATTTCTTTACAAGTTGTTTTTAATATAACAAAGTGGTTATCATACACTCTCCGATTATGAGCGAATTTCAAAAATATTATCGGCTCTTCATGATTTAAAAGTAATCATAGCAAGTTTTAAAATTTTAGCTCATCATTTACTTTCATGTTTCAGATCTGATTGCCGGAAAAACACTGTAATAATTTAAATCTCAACAAATGGTTCTTTAATATCAAGTTGAAATTTGATATTGGCTCTTGCGGTTGTGTACAAAGTCGACAATATGGCATAAAGGTTGAGCACTTTTTATAATTTAAACTAGGAAATATGGAAAATACGGCGAACCAAATTGATTGAAAAGAATAATATTTTTTTTGCTTATTGGAAAGCCAGATTGTTTTGATTTGTATACACACTTTTCAAATTTTTCACTACGCTACGACTTCAAAGAAAGTTTTTATTGAAAACTGACTATCATACATAACAAGATTATGCGAAAAAAAATGCAGAATTGTATAATTTTGTTTACTCCTTGCAACCTTCTATAGTAATAAGTTAATAAGAAGAAAAATTATTTTTTATTTTCAATTAAAAAGTCTTATAGAATGTGGGCTCAAAATATTCAAACACAGTGCGGTTAAATTGAGTGCATACGTTATGGGTCGCGACGAGCTCAAAATCTTCTGTTATTGGATAGTTAATTTTTATGCGTTTTTTAAATGTTCTCAGTGTAATATTTTATCATTGTCTACTAACGAAAAATGTTTCTCACAATCCTTGTTCCTTGCATATGTATTGAAGACGGAATCGAATTTTTGAACATATTTGACAAGAATTTACTTTTTAGTTGTTTAGTTAGTTTTGATGGGCCATTTACTTTAGAAGAGTATTAGTCTTCAACTTCCAACGAAATTCATATGAACTTATCATTTTTAATGTTGATATCCAATTTTTTCAAGGATGACATAAAATACTGAATATTTTCACCTATGGAAGTCGAATTCTATACCGGAAGAAACTAAATTGCTTGCTGTTTTGCGCTATTTCAATAAGCGTTAAGCAAAAATGGACTATGGAAGGATCGTGCCGAAATGACTTGTCTACTTACAATAATCACGGACCAAATTTAGTAGAAGAATCGGTTATTACTTAAACACGGTCATATTTTTTGGAACTTTTTTGATCAATCCATAATATTATATAGCCATATGGGGGGACGAAATTTTTGCGTACGGAAAAATATTTAGTAATTTCCAGAGCTTTTAGTACTAAATAGATGCACAAGTGTCTATCAGTTTCATTATCAGCCCTGTCCAATTCTGGCTAAAACTATCTAAAGGGGTTGAAGCAATCACCATTCAATTTTCCAGGAACTTTCAGAACTCAATACTGATATTAGGTCACAATAAAACATGCCTTAGCTAACAAACGCACATGATTTTCATGTTGATTGAACATTTGCATGTCTCGAGTCATATTGTGTAGGTGTAGTTTTACCTAAAGGGGAACTTTTTGAAAAAACTTCAAATTCAATTAATACATTTTAAATGTTCTCTTCGTACTAAACGGTTCCTTCACTTCTTTTAATTCTGTCATTTTCTAAGTGTAATGTTAAGGTTCAATAGGTACTTGCGATGAAATCTACATTTAAATTGTCCGCTAAAATACCTTTAGCTTCTTCATCAATGTATTTCCTACCTGTCATGGTGAAAATGCCCACAAACAATCCAATGTTGCGACCTGCAAGCATAACTTCTTCTTCCGAGTCATTTCCAGCTTCTTTTTTTCTGCCTGCCCAAACACCCACTGCTAAAATTATCACGTAGAAGAGAACGATTGAAACAACTCCTGCTATGTTGATCATTTTGGTACGATTTTCTGTGTTTCTTCGTGTATCTGGAACAAGCAAATTCTAAACTGAATAAAACATATTTGCTGGAATAAATCGACGCTGTAAAATTTCCATCTGAACTGCTACATGTTCCGAGGCTGTTACTGAATATTTAAATTTCTTGGTGTTTAAACTAATTGGCTCTTTTCGGACTTTAAGGCAGGCATATTGATAGAAAATGATCAGATTCAGGTCTATATATTTACTGACATTTAATAAATAAACATTTTCTTCAATTTCTGTATATTTTCTTTGATTACTTTATTTTTAGTGACATAAAATTACATTTTATTGAAAACACAGCACTAGATTTCGAAAGAAAAATTCCAATAAATTAGTCAATGTACAATGCTCTCCTCTCTGCCTCGTTCTGGTCGTCCGCTCTAAAATAGTTCCAAGACACTCTATAAAGAACGTAGAAATATTCCACATTAAGACGTATAAATTAGTAATGCTTATTTATACAGCGTTGCATGACTGGTTCGGCAATCAATCATTCGCAAGTCACTGTAATATTTTTAGCTCCCAAAATCCGCAAAAGACGAATAAAGGTAGCAAAATAACTTTAGAGTTACAGTTTACATATTATTTGTATTGAAATTATTTTAATGTGTCTTCAATAATTCCGAATATGCATACTGTCTTTCTTGTGACGAAATTTCAATAATTAATCAAAATAACATTGCTTTTACTTGATTTTCGGTTTACCAATTTTGAATTCTCCATTGAAGTCTTAAACTCAACAGATATAGTTATGATTACAAATTTCTGTAGACCTAAAAACAAGATAATTCAACAGTTTAACAAACAAATTGAAGTTTCAAAATGTGTGCGATTTAAGGCTGCAAACAACCAAAACTGTTGAGATTAGGTATAGCCGTGAATAATACTTAGAATTCAATGGAGAATTCAAAATTTAAATAAAAATTAGGTGCTTTTATTTGAAAAATGTAGTTGATGGTAGGAATTTACTTTTGGGCCACCATATAACCGTGTATAAATAACTCAAAACCAGATTCATTTAAAAATAGAAATTGACTGGCCTGAGCTTTTTTCAAAAAAACAGGCCGCTTAATTTAAAAAAAATATATACTATTATATTTTGATTTATTTTCCTGGCTGCGTGTAATTGTCATTATATTATTTTCTTTCCTGGGCTCCAGTCAAAGTGTGAAACAAAAATTTGTATATCGTTTATTTCGTTACGATTCGGCGAGACAGCAGCGCCATCATCAGATTTTAAAATTCATACAAACTCATAATTGGTGATCATTACATTCATTTAGGTCTTTGCTGTCTTGAAAATACAAAAAAATATTTTCATAAAAATGTAAAGTTTTTAAATCCAAAATATCTCGTAGTATAGAAACATAAAGTTCTTTTATGCTTATACACTGTATAATACTTGCGTTGGAAAATTACATGTTTTGGTGGTTTTTGTTTTTGGTTCAATGGGTAGAATATCGATAAACTGCACAACTAATGTCACTGTTTTAAATCCAAAGTCGAAGAAATCAAATTAAGAGGTAAGTTTTTTTTATATAAATTGTTAGGAAACATAAAACTCTTCTACCGTTACAGAAACGACATAATACAGTTCTGATCCAACACTAGGTTTTCGCGACATTTTGGTTTTGATTCAATTCGTAAAATATAGATGAAATGCACAAAAGGTGTTAACATTTTGCAATACAAAGTATAGTCGAAGAAATCAAAATAGGAGATCAGTTTTCTTCTATGTCTTGTAGAGACATGTGTGCAATGACACACTATATTTTGGTGAAATTTTTCGTCTTTGGTTTATTAACCAATATCACATTTTGTTTGATTTTTGCAATCCAGTGCAGAACAAATCTAATTATGTTCCACACTGTAGGTGAACGAAAACCTTGTTCCTCAGATTAACTTCTACACTACCTCAAAGAAATATTATTTTGAGTCCAAACTGCACCTTTCAAGGTACCTTGATTGAATTGGACCTCGAGCATTCGTCCGAAATATCGATAAAAAATTAGCCTTGAAGACAATCAAAATGGCGTAACTAAGTCACGCTACCTCAATTTCCAATACATCGTGTTATCGATGTGAACCATCTTTCATTGGTTTCCATGCACAGCAAAGTGTCCACAACTAAAGAAAGTCTTACCAAAAATATATATGCGATTAGCGATAACGGAACCTCCCTAGAAGATCACCTACGTGAGGAGATCCAGAAGTTGGTCAGCAGGACAGCAGTCACCCCACCTAAGGGAGGTTTTCTGCGAGGGACTATTCCTTGTTCTAAATCTTAACGACAACATCTGCCTTAGAGCGTGACATCCACATCGAACATACACCAGTCGCTAAAAGTCCAGTACAGTATTAATGCTTCGCGACGGTTATACAAGAACTAAGCTTTCGGGACTCTGGATATCGATCCAGAGCCCGTGACGTCACAGGTGACACGTGGCTCATTGGCTGGGCGGGAATTTGGGGGCGGTCCAGAGTTGCACCCACGTATTCCCAAGGTCGCATTGAAGGATGGGTTGATTGGGGGAGGCATGGGCCGACTTTTGTTATGCGTTAATAAACGAAATTCATCGTAGTCATAATTAATGGCTGTTCAAGAATTCATCACTTTTTCCCTAGTTGTGTAGGTAGAACAAATGCAGCTGAAAGCGAAAATGTATTTAAATCTGCTGGAATGCCACAAATTAAATTTTCAGGTGGAAATTTTAAATTAGTTGAAATGAATGTAAATGGGAAGCCTGGGGAAACAGAAGCAACGAATGAAGAAGTTTTGATCAATTGCTTCAAACTTGTTTACGTTCTCAGCTCAAAAACATGGCATTCCATGATTTAAAATCCTACAGAGGTTTCTTATAAATTAATTTTTAATACCTGGTTGATTATTTAATTACCTAATTCGATGTCCATGAAATGGGCAAAAATTGTGCAGATTACATTTTGATTCTTACAAAAATTTTTAAACGTTTGATGGATGATGATATTAGTTAAACAATTGCATCGTTTAATGGTGGAATGCAGATCGAAGCATCAAGTAAATATCTAGAAGCGGTTGTTTCAAGGCTTTTATATTTTTGTCTAAATCGCCTCTGGATCTTTCCTTATAAATGAGTGTTGCAAATAGCGCTCTTTTTGTAACAGAATTGCGGCAATCAGAATATTTGAACGGCATCATTGCGTACAATTCAGTTCCATAGTTCAGAATTAACATGATTTTGATGAATAGTGTTGCAGATCACCATCAAATGTATAGTCCAAATTAATATTTAATTTTTATCCAACAGCAATGTGTAAAAATTCCTTTTGTAACGTGTGTGTATATAAATTTTGAAAATTGCGTTTGATGAATACAAAATAAGAGAAACATCCGTTAATTTTCCATTTCAAATTTACATGTACAGTTTTCCGTACATTTTGATTAAATTGTCAAAAATTTTAGATCAAAGACGTGTGAAGAAACTTTTGTTAGTAATTCTGATCAATACATTATTTAAAAACGCAGCGCTCTAAATTAGCCTATAATCAAAGTGAAAACGTTCATACATTGAGTTTCAGAGGATTGCTCCTGGAATCACGTATGTTCTTTTACTACTCCCAGAAGAAGTTACTCTCTGGGACTCACTTTTTAGGCAATAATATTTAGATATTGATTTAGATTCGTTTAAGATTCAGCAGGCGGTGTTTTTTGGATAAATGTCCGAAAATGGGTCTGTTTTTCCTGGTGAATGCATTTTGTTACGCTTAATTTATTTATAGAGGATAGTCCCAGAAGACATTCAACTTATTTTTTTCATATAAGGACCTCAGGTTTGAATTTTCCATTGTATTCGAATTAACGAGAAATTGGACCTACCAATAATTCATAAATACGATTTTGTTTAAAATTCTATAGTCCTGAAAAGGACGGAATTTTTTCGAAAAACAGAGCAACAATCAAATTATATATTCAAAATGTTTGCAATCTACCGCTTGACAATATTCGAGGTGCTCAATAAACTCTTCTTGCACCTTGTTATTTTGGTAAATATATTGTTTTGCCTTATACCTTGCATTCATTTTTTTTTATTTTGGGACTTGGTAGCAAGTTCGCATATGTTTTGTAATAAAGGCATAAGGTGTTTAAAAACTTCTTACTAAAACTACAATTTACAATTTATTATATGCTCGTATCTCTAAGACAGATCAAAAAGGTCCATTGTTCAGTACTGCGGAAACAAACATACTACAATATCAACCGAGGAAATTCCATTCCACTGGAAAATTCAGCTTGTTTGGGTTTTTATCAAATCCCCTACAAATGAAGCTCAAGCTACAAATGAAAGGAGGTCGACAACAGAAAGTGTAATTTCAACGTAAACTGTTATTGCTCTTTGTATGTGTTCAGACTTTCAAAATAATTTGCCGATGTGCAAGATATCAAAGGAGGTAGCGACAAGAAATTATCGGGAGCAAAAATAGACAATAATAGCAAATAACGGAACCTTTACCAAAGTTTACTTACTAATGTGTGTGTCTTGACTAAAATCGAATTTGCATCAGGAGAGCAGAATACTGAAGGAGGTAACAACAAGGAAAAATCAGGGAAATAAATCGACATTAATAATAGCAAATAACGTAACGCTAGAACTATTTTGTGTCTGGGCGAAAATTTAACTTGGACCAGGAGAGCAGAATACTGATGAAGGTAGCTACAAGG